GGTCCGAGCTCCCCTTCGAATGACATAGATGTGTATATGCAGCCTTTAGTTGAAGAATTGAAGGAATTATGGGATGTTGGAGTACAAACTTATGATATATCTTCTAAAGAGAACTTTCAAATGCGTGCAGCTCTAATGTGGACTATAAATGACTTTCCCGCATATGGTGATTTGTCTGGTTGGAATACCAAGGGCGCTCTTGCATGTCCTTCTTGTAATTATGAGACTCATTCGCGATGGTTAAAACATGGAGGAAAATATTGTTTTATGGGCCATAGGCATTTCTTGGATAAAGATCATAGATTTTGTAAAGACAGAGCATCATTTGATGGCAAACAAGAAACAGAACCAGCTCCCAATATGCTATCTCGCTTTGAGATCATGATGCAAACAGAAGACCTTGATTACAAATTTGGGAAGACAAAGGCAAATGAAAAAAACAAAAAAAGAAAGAAACAAGCGGATGGTGATGAGATACAACCATGGAAGAAAAGAAGTATATTTTTTACATTGTCGTATTGGGCAAATCAAAAATTGCGTCACAATCTTGATGTGATGCATATAGAGAAAAATGTGATTGATAATGTATATGGAACATTGTTGAATTTGGATGGGAAGACAAAGGATAACTTGAAGGCACGTCTTGACTTACAAGAGATGGGTATAAGACGTGAACTTCACCCACAAAAGATCAGTTCCAATAAGACATATTTGCCTCCAGCTTGCTTCTCAATGATTTTAAAAGAGAAAGATGACTTCTTGAAAGTTTTGAAAGGGGTAAAAGTCCCAGATGGTTATGCTTCAAATATTTCACGTTGTATCCAACTTAGACAACGTAAGATTATAGGTTTGAAGAGTCATGATGGTCACATTTTGATGCAGCAACTTCTTCCTATCGCATTACGAGGAGCATTACCAAAAAAGGTCGCTTCACCTCTAATTGAGTTATCTTGTTTCTTTAGAGAACTGTGTTCCAAAGTATTGCAAGTGGAAGAGCTTGATCGACTTGCATCTCGAATTGTAGTGACTTTATGCAATTTGGAGATAATCTTCCCTCCCTCATTTTTTACTGTAATGGTGCATTTAGTCGTCCATTTGGCCATTGAAGCTAAAATTGCTAGCCCAGTTCACTATAGATAGATGTATCCTATTGAGAGGTTAGGCATGACGACTTGTATTCATTTTTGTTTTTAACTTATATCACATAGACATCCAAATTAGTCGATCTATAATTAAAAGGTTTTTCATGTAGATATCTCCAACGACTAAAATCTTATGTTCGTAACAAAGCCCATCCAGAGGGCTCTATTGCAGAAGGATACATAGCTGAAGAGTGCTTAATATTTTGTTCACGGTATTTGGAATCTGTTGAAACCATATTCAATCGACCCTTAAGAAATGTTGAAGATTCTACAGGGGCAATAATGAATATTGAACTTGATCAAAAGTCATGGATACAAGCACATCGTTATGTGTTATTTAACAATGATGAAATTCAACCATTTCGGATGTAAGCAATATTTATGAGTTATGCTATATAGATAAGTTTGAGTTTCCCATTTTAATACTTCCAATAGTAACACAAGTTAGGTTTGTATATACAGAGAACACAAGGAGCATATAAAGAGACAAAGTCGTCCGCGTCGTCTAACTGATAAAGTTCTTAATAAGATGCATATGGAAAATTTTTGTGAATGGTTTCGATCATATGTAAGTATGTAGCTATTAAATAATACTATTATCATATACAACTTTTAGTGTAGGGATTAATGTAATCATTTTAATGGATCCTATCAGGTTGTAGCTATGGATGACACAAGGAAGCAACAACTTACTGATGAAATCAAGTGGCTTGCTCAAGGCCCAAACACTCTAGCTAGACGATTCAAACGTTATGTTGTTAATGGTTTTAAGTTCCGAATTAAAAATTACGAGGAGGCAAAAAAAACTCAGAATAGTGGGGTTTGTGTCGCCACTGAAGGAGGCACCATGTATTATGGTGTTTTATTAGATATCATTGAGCTGAATTATTTTGACAAGTTGAAATATGTACTATTCAAATGCATTGGGCTGATGTGAACACAGGCAGGGGCTACAAGATAGATGAATATGGTTTTAACCTTGTGAATTTTTCGCATTTGATACATACTGGAGAACGGTTAAATGATGAACCATTTGTCTTGTCATCTCAAGCTTTACAAGTTTATTATGTGGGAGATGTAAGGCATGAAAATTGGTTGGTTGTTGTTAAAACAAAAGCGAGAGATGTGTTTGATGTTGGTACTAGTGAATTGTGTGATGATGATGTTGACACTTACTATGATAACGAGCTGTATAATGTAATAGTTGAAGACACTCATGTGGATACGAATGAAAACCTCAATTGGGCTAGAAATGATGCAGATGGAACAACAATCAATATACCACTTCTACTTGATAATCAACTGATTGATGAAGATGATTTAGATGAGGATGTTTAGTTGTTCAGTTGAACTAGTTTGATTTTAATTTATTTATTCTCATGTTAATCTTTGAAACATTATTTGATTTTGAATATAAATTTCAAATTTCTTAGTTTCATATATGTATGGCAACCCATGTTTTGCAAATTTTTTTTCTTTCTTTTTTGGATTTTTGTCTTGCTTTGAGGAAAAACTAGTTTCTAATGTCTATTTACTTAAGCAACAATTTTAGCCATAGGAACTCTTAAATAGGCATTTGAATGAAAATCTGAAATTAAACTCTGTTTAAACTCAACCATTTAGCAGCTGCTGAAAAAAGTGTTACTATCTTATGAATCACACAGATTCCTATTTGCAGTAACCCTGTTTAGAGATCTTATATTCCACTCGTCTTTATAATTCTTCTCTGTCTCATGTGTGAATGAGTTGAGCATGCATTTTCAATGATTTGGCTTCATTTTCTCCATGTTGATAGTGCTATGTTGATCTCTTATGCATTGTAGATACCGCTTGTCTTTCTTATTATAGAATTCTGTGTGTGAATAAGAGTTGCATCAATTTTGTAAGAGTTGACGGCCTAAGCCAAACCATGTAAATTATCTGTTTTCTTCTTTATCATTGTGTTTGCATCAATTTTCTACTTTGTATCCGATTTGAAATTTGTGTGGGTTTGTCAGGACACTTGTCTTGTTGCCATTGAAGTATATTGTATGGGTTATTAATGAGGACATCTATATTTCTTCTAATAGATAACTGATGGTTTTTTATATTATTTTAATGTTTGTTGTTAAATATAGCTATTAAAAACTTGGACTGGAAAATCAGCATCTTGACATTCTTATTTTTATGCTCTCTCTGGTTTTAACTTTTAGTTTGCGAATGTAGGTATATCATATCTCAAGAAGAAAGAAGTCTGCACCCGTCTAAGAGAGGCGAGTATAGTCATGTATGTCCGCACCTGTGGTTTGATTCCTAGATTGTAACAGTTGTCATACTTCAAAAAATCCACACCCTGAATAACACATCACAAAATATCAATTAATGAAGCTCATGGATAGATAATGTGGTAAAGTGGCAGAAATTTCATCTAAATTCATGAATTCCTGATTAATTTTAAGGCACATTTATCTTGGTATTTTTTTATTTATTATTATTGTTATTTTTTTTTTTTTCAGATTTGGAGGTAATTTGGTAACTTTCTTTTTAATTTAGAGAACGAACTATTTAGGTGGTTGTTTATGAGAATTATTGCGCCCTTCCCTTATTTGGAATACCTTCAAGTTCTTGTTTGTCTTTGAAATACTTGTTGGAATTTCTGGAAATTCTTAGTCTAGCAAGATAGTCTTATACTTCTATATAAAGTTAGCTTGCAGAGACAACGATACAAGTTTAGATAAAGAAATTTCTGGAAATTTCTCTTACATTTTTAGTGGTGGTGAGACTTCATTGAATCCTTCTAGATGAGATTCCTAGAAAATCTCAATGAGATTCAAAGGTTCTTCTTATATATTTAAATTCCAGAAAGCCTCTGCATAAATAACAACCACATCTATCTTTTTAGTCACCTTAACTGAGTCCGTAAAACCCTTAGACCTTGATCCAAACTCTAACCTTTATATTCTAACTCTAAAATTTCTCTGTTGTCCAGAAAATTCCAGATTCACCCTACAGCCCAGAAAATCCGGCAACTTATCTCCTTAAATTTCCAATTCAAAACAGCATCAAAGTTCAATCATTCTGACCACTATCTATGCTCAAATCCTCAATCCAATTTCCAAACCCTTGACCATTCCAGACCCATGATATTTAGTTGTGAAAGGGAACAAAACAAATAGATCATGTGGATGAATACCTATGTTAACATAAACATAACCTAAATCAGCCAAACCAATTGCGATATGTGCATCAGCTTTCAAAGAGGAGAACATATGTTGGTATTTGTGACATTGAGTTTTTGAAAATATGATAAATGAAAGGACATATTTCTATTCACACATTCAAATTTTAATTACTTTTGACAGTCCATAGGGGCTTTTGCTTGGGCAATAATAAGTGGTTGGGTTCTCATGTGCAAGTTTTCAGGGGCCTCTGTTTTGTGTAAATAATGCCTCAACCCTCAAAGACCCTCAAATCAGAGACCCTCTGATATATAGAGTTACTAAAGTAGACAAAGAAAATAATCTTGTGAGGTGTATATGAGCTTTTCATATGGCTTATGTTCTTTAATATCTTTTAGTATACTATGATAAATGCGCATTTAATTTGATTAATATCTTTGTTTCTGATTAATTATATCTATTATTTGTCTAGCAGATATGGCAAAGAAACGATTTAGAACTTGTAATATTGAGAATGAGTCACAGCGCAAGCGATCAAATGCCTCTTCACAGCCTAACCAGCCAAAAAACCCTTTACAACTTAACGCACCAAGTGGAATTTCACAACCTAGTCACTCAACTGGGTCTCCACAGCTGAACTTGCCAAATAGAACTTCACAACCTAGTCGTTCAAATGATTCTTTACAACTTAATCAGCCAAATGGAACTTCACAGCCTAGTCGATCAAAATGGCTCTTCACACTCTAGTTGGTCACATCCCTCCTCACATTCTCCGTCACATGTTCCACATCCTCAGCCTCAAGAATCAGAGATTAACCCGCAGTTTGAAGATGATTTAGATGAGGACTGGTTAAGGGAAGAAGAAATGCAACGTACAGGTATTATTATGTTTTTAGTTGAGGTACAAATTACAAGTCAATCTTCATTTCCATGTTATATTTCATTGTTGTATTGTAATAGATGAATTGACCAAGCGAAACACACGGGGAATTACACGTATGGTGGAAGTGTGGAATCTAACTCCAGAAGAACGCATTGTGCTCACCTTCAACAAGGATTTGCAGGTTGTTTCTACAGAGGGTGGTATATTCAGTCGCTTCATAGGCACCATTGCTAGGAAGCCACACTTATGCCCAATTAAGTACAAGAATTGGCATGACGTGCAAGATCAGTATAAAGAAGATTGTTGGAATATCATCGAGGTAATTTTCTAACTACAAGTATTTTGTGATTATTCTACTATAAGAGAGATGGGTATATGCATGTGAAAAAGACAATCTTTCATGCTATTATAGTTAAAGTAAAAAGCATAATATGAGAATTAGGCAAAGAAATTCACAAATGCAGTTTGTATTATTGTATTGATAATTTTAAGAATGTTCATAACATGAAAAAACATACAATTGTAGTCCAAGTTTGCCATTCCTCAAGATGAGAGGAGGGATATGATTAGGCATCGAACATTGAAGTCAATGGGAGAAAAATGGAGAAATTGGAAATGTAGTTTAAAAGCAAAATACTATGATGAGACAAAGACAGCAGCACAGATAGTAGCTACTGCGCCTTTAACGGTTAATCGTGAGCACTATGCTGACCTTGTCGCGTATTGGTTTTCAAAAGAAGGACAGGTATGCATAGATGTATGTTTTCTATCAAATAATACAATGTCATTATATCAATTTTTTTTTAACATATTGTTATGCATTTATGAGTGAAGGAACTTAGTGCAACCAATAAGGAAAGCAGGCGAGAGCAAACAAGTGCACATACGGGAGGATCTAAAACTTATGCACAACATGCATATGATATGGTATTTCAAACTTCATTTCTTGTTTTATATTTTGAATTTGGTCGCACTTAGTATTATGATTTTATTCTTGAACGATATGACTATTATATAGGAGCAAAAAGATAAGATTGCACTAGATCGAGCAAAATTATATATACCACTTCACAAAAGGAAGGATGGGACACCGGTAAATGAAGCAGAAGCTGCAAAAATTGTATGTCCACTTAACAAGTTACATTTTCAAAATTCTAATGTGTTTGTGGCAAACAATCACTCTCGCTCTTTGCGTTCTTATTTTTTTCCCCATTTATGCTATAGGAAAAACTAGAAGATTTGATGACGTCACAACCAAGGAGCTCCGAAGGAAATGTTAGTGGACGGATATGTTGCCCTCACCAAATGATATTTATTCTCAAGTGATGGGTAAAGAGCGTCATGGTCGTGTTCGAGGTTTAGGATTTGGGCCCACTCCTTCCAAGCATGGCTTCATGTGTAATAGTGACTTAAGAATGGTTTCAGATGAGGAGAGAACGAGAGACAAAGAGGCCATAATTGAGTTGAAGGAACAAGTAAAAACTCAAGGTGATCAGCTGCAAACTCAAGGTATTCAGTTGCAAGCTCAAGATGCTGTAATAAACTCTTTAAAAGAGCAAGTAGCATTTTTGATGAGACAGAGACAGTGTTCTTGTGGTTTGCAGGTATAACTACAAGTAAACATATTTATTTAAATGATGTATTTATCATGTGTTATGCTTTTCTAAATTTATGCATACTCATTTAAACTTTATTGTATAAATTAGGCGATAGATGGCTCTAGTGGCATTCCGAACCAGGCTTCTCCACAAACACATCAGAGATCCTCTTTTGGGAATCATGAAATGCAACCTTTTAATCGGGGTAAGTCATCATTACAATACACATACATTGACACAAATTTAGAACCAATGTTAATGACTTCTCTACCAATAAATTTTTAGTTGGTTTGGAAAAAATTGGGATTTGATAGGATGATTTTCTACTTTGTTTCCTTTACTGGCATCCGTAAAAATACCAAACAAAACAGTGAAATAGAGAATTGGGCAATCGAACAAATTTGAATATCAACAATGGATCAAATTATAATATACAATTAAAAAATAGACCCTTGGATGTTGCTATTGGTTGCTTGATTTAGTGGTTGTTACTAATGTTTGGCTTTATTGGTTGATTTAGTCCAAATGCCAACATGTTGGCATCTTATATTTTATTTGGATATGTTTTAACATCCTAGCTTTGGAGTCTACCCTCAGGATATATAAGGAAAGAGAGTCTTATATTCAAGGGCACATTGAAAAAATAGAGAGTATTACAGATAGCATGAGTAATAACTTCTTTTCATCTACAAAAAAAAGAACACTTGTCTGTAAGTGTCTTTCAATTGTAATGTTTATGTTTATGGTATATGAATAAAAGTCCATTTTCAAAACTGTTGTTCTTTCATAATATAATCCTCTTCTTGAGTGATACACTGACTATGAGAGATTGGGAGTAGGGTGAGGTAATGAGGCTATAGTGATTACCTATAGGCAAGAGACCACTTGGGAAAACAGAAGCTGAAAGCAACATCCAAACTTAAAAGACCTTGTGGAAGGTGTTCCTCATTAGAGTTCTATACTTAGGAGTAATAGCAGGAGCGAGGTGGGCACATATTTAGATATAATTTCCTAGACATTAATGATTGTTAGTTGCTTGCTTACATGTTCTAAGCCCTTTACATGTCTTCACCCATAGCTAATCTTAGAAATCAATTTGCAGTGCTTAAAGAACAACAAGAAAAACTAACTGCACAAATTGAAAACAATTTGTTCCTTAAATCTTTAGCCGCCTTACACTTCTGCATTACTGTATTTTTTCTCTCCATTTGTTACTATTTTCTCTCTTAATGGCTGATCTATCTTCATATGTAAATATGATCTTCAACTTGAGTATGGTGATATTTTTCGATATGTAAACCATATACTTACCAAAAAGATAAGACTTGTCGAGAATTATTTGTAGTCTAAATTTTCTTTATAGATTTTGAAATGGAAAATGATACTTATACTCATTCAATCATTTTTATTGCAGGAAATAAGACAATATGAAAGCATCAATCAATGGACGTCATTTCTCGATTTGAACATTTTTTATGGAGGTCTTTATAAAATGGCGTCATGAGTAATACTTTTGAGTACTATTGTCCTGTGACAAGTTTATATATACCTTTTACATTATGGTGTAGGCTATTAGTTTGTTGGAATTATTAGATCTTTTTTGTATTACAGGCTTATGTAATGAACCTTTTAATTAAGGTGTTTTGGAAATTTTGGGATTATAAAAATGCAGATTCTTTTACCTTTTACAATTATTGAGTATTGAGCCATTAGAATAAAATAGTGTTTTTATAGATATATAATGTGAGCAGGGATAAGTGAGAGACAACCATTAATGGTTAGCAAATCATTGAAAATTTCAAGCTGTATATTATTGGTAATTGATTTGTAAACATAGCATATAACCGCGGTTAATAACCGCCACTGCAAATAAAATTCAAAAAGAATTTTATGGTTATAGCGACGGTGTAAAACTGATGGAATAGAGTCAAAATATAGCAGCGGTTTAGAAAATGTCACAAAAGTGAAGGCTATAGTAGCGGTCGACACGTCACTATAAAGTTAGCAAGTAATGAGTAAATTTAAGATATAGTGACATTTATAACTGTCACTACATCGGCCGTCGCAATAAAAATAACTATACCAGCGTTTGAGGAAAACGTCACTATAAGGATATGCCGACGGGGCTATTGCGGCGGTTTGGCCGTCGCTATTACAACCGCGGGTAAAGGTTTTCTAGTTTTTAGCGACGCTTTTTCCTGCTTTTAGCGGCATTTTGGGCCGCTGCTAAAAGTGAATTTTTCTGTAGTGACATTAATAAAAGGGTATAGTTGTCTACCAAAACTCTACCAAAATAAAAAATAGAACCATATGGAAATAAACTCTACACTAATAAGACTTAAAAGATCAATAGAAAAAATTTAGAACTAATTAGAGTACTTGTTTGTGAGATGGGATTTATTGGTAAATATCCGTTAAATGAATCTTATGATTTGCATTGATATGTGTTTATGTGCTATTATATGCTATTTGTGAAATGAATTATGATATTGTGAACAGATGTGTATAGGATATGAATTGGACTTGTCTGATTCAGTAAATTATACAAGGTTAAATTAAATATTTGGAATAGATAATTATAGCCAAATTCACATTAGTGTGATTAAATTTAGTTTAATTTGAATTAGATTATGATGAGACTTGATTTAATTTAAGTGAATTTGATATAATTAGAGCCAATGTAATTTATTACCTTAAGCTTAGAATAAATCAAGGCCTAGGAATAACTAATGATTATACACTCCTTAATTTATTCATCAACTTAACTAGAGAAAAGAGAGAGAGTTAGTGCATATTGTTGGAGTCATACACTTGAGATAAAGAGATAAAACTCTAGAGAGCTCTAGAAGAAGAAGAAAAGAAGAGGAAGAACAAGAACAAGGTGGAATTGAAGAAATATCTTCATAATTCAACAATTCAAGGTAGGATTGCTTTTCCATTTTTATGAAATTGAAGTGTTATACTCATAATCTTTTAGAATTTGAGTTGAATTATGATGAAATCATATCACTTCACTGCTGGGTTGGTTTATCAGACTCTGGAAGCACGTGATTTATCCACGAGGTTCTATCATCAAAAAGGTATGATTTAAACATTTTATCCGCTGCATGTTTTATACTTTGATTTACACATGTTTTATGATTCTACCTTTCTATTCTAAATTTTGATCTTTTTAGTGGAAATTGGGTTTTGTTTATGAAGTTATAATCTTTAATTGAAGTTAGAAATATGAAATTCAAGTTGTTTTAAGGGTTTTGGGCCTTGATATGTATGAAATTGAAGTTGGATTTTGCCAAGAATGAGTTCCAAATCAAGAGAGCAGATTTTCGGACACAATTCAACCCAGAACTGCAAGTGTGGCAAGGGGCCCCGCACGTACGGAAAACAGAGCACATCAAGGCTTTAACACTGTTTTAATTCTACACGTGCGGCCAGGCCCTCTGCACGTGCGGATTTCAGGCCAATCCCCGTTTCATTTTCTCTTCGTTTTTTCGACTTTCAGGCCTCTATATGCATGGTTGTCATGTGTATTTCAAATTCATATGCATATCATGAACGCGAAATAAATTAAAAAACGAACAGAAATAACTGAACGAACAAGTAACGAATAAACCGAATAAGTTTAAGAACCGATTGAATGAATTGAACGTGTTATAAGATGTGCTTGAATGTGTTTGTGTAGGTCAAATACCATTCAGGGAGCCAACTGTGAGTAACAACCTTGTAAAGATATGTTTGAATTATAAGTATTTTCTGAATTATAAAATGCTCTATTTCTGAAATGACGAATTTTGACTGATTGAATGATTGTCCTATTTATAAAATGTACTCTTGGCATTCATAGCATCTATTACTGTTATTGTTACTGCTATTATTACAAAGATCTCTGTCAATTCCAATTTTTAGAATTATTGTTTACTGAATTGATGGCCATCATATACAACTGTTTCGGTCTTAAAAGACTTACTGTACTATTCTGCTAATGGATGTATCACGTATGACTACTACGATTTCAATATGATTTGACATGTTATGAGATACTGATTTGAGAAATTGATACACTAATGAAATTGATTGTTTTAAATTACTGAAAGGACATCATTCATTACCCCTTTACACCATTGTTATTCACTAGGCTCTAACTCACTATTTTATATATGCATGTAGGTGATCAAGTGCAAGACCAGACTTAGTAGCGTCGATTTGAACTCAATTTATCAAGCAAACTTCTGTGCCTCACTGTGAGGTCTCAATCGGGTCAAGCTTCTAAGCTCATGAGTGGTTTAGAATTCACCCTTTTGTATTTGTGAACAAATGTTATGAATGTTGCTAACGCTTTTGTTAAGACTAGTTTTGTTATTAGGATTTAATTCCTAAGTTATTTTTTTTTTTTTTTTTTTTGTAATTAAACTTGACGTGGACTTATGTGTATATGTATATATAAAGGTTTGTTTTGTTCATTTAAGTTTTCACAACTCATTAAACACTATAATTTATTATTTAAGACTTCCGCCAACCCCTATTATTGTATTACTATTAAGCAAGCCTTTGGTAATCTCGGATTACTGGCTGGTCACTTCTCTAATCCCTTGGGACGGGGGTTGGATCCTGGCACTTTTCTCTCTTATCGATTATAGAATGTGTGTGGGGTCCTCCTTGACTGTTCCCCTTAGATGTGATTAGTCCTATTCTGTGGTTCCTACAACACTCTGACTCGAGCACAACATC